TCGCGGGCACTGTGCTTGGCAGCCTGCTCTCACAAACAGCATGCCAACTGCCGAGCCTCCTCGCTTGTGCGGCGACTGCAGAGATGTGCCGGGCACAGCCTGGCTTGGCTGCCTTTTCAAGCCGGGCACAAATGAGATTGGCACGGAGCGCGGCTCCTCGAGCGAGCCGTGTGATATATAGTCCCCAGCTGTGGTCAAGGTGGAAGCGGGAAGGCGAGGGAAGCTGGGTAGATCTGTGCCACGACCACGGAGAATGTTCAATCCCTGTGACTAAACAGCATGGGACCAAAGAGAAACAGCACACAATGTGCCACAAAGTGGACACGACACACACACACACACACACACACACACAGACAATAAACCAAGAGAAAGTGTTGTTTCACAGCATAACAGAACATTTTGTTTGTCACACTATAAGTGCGCTACTTTCTGAACTTCACTAAATAAATGCTTAATTATGGAAAAGAGAACTTGGTTTGGCAATATGCATTTTCTTTTTGTTTGCTACCATTTATTTTCTCATAGTTTGTATTGCATTTCACTGGTTTTGAGCATTAATATATATATATATATATATATGTGCGTGTGTGTGTGTATGTGTGTGTGTGTGTGTGTGTGTGTGTGCTACAAATCGATCTTAAGTGGGCTATCAAACAAATATGATACATTTATTCGTAATTCTGCAAAGTAAAACTGTCAGAAAGATTTTTTCGGTGTTTATCTTGCAGGTATTGATATATTTCAATATTTCTGCTTAGAGTTTGTTATAAAACCCTAATATTATTTACTGAATTTCTGTAATTTTCCCTTTCAGACTGTGTTTTGTAGTTTCAGTCTTATGTGCGCTTTTTATTTATTTATTTATTTATTTGTTTATTTCCTTTCAATTTTCACTGACAGACTTCTAAGCGCATCCCAATTTGCATACTTATGCACTATATTCTATGCCATCGTGTAGTATAAATATTGTGTGCAGTGTGTTCACACTGGAAATTTTAAAAATAAGTAGTGCACTTTAGATGATGCACTGAAAAAAACTCACATAAAATTGATACAACAGTGTATAGTAAAAGTGCAGTGCATACACTTAGAATGTAGACTGATGATGCCAAAGCAATATTCACATGGTTGCTGACTGGTCTTCTTTATTACATATTTTTGCATTCTAAATTGTGATTGGTCTCATCTTACTTGTATATGCTTACACAGCAAATACTTTGTTGTGCATGTTTATTCACATGCAAAATAAGTTGTGACAATGACAAAGCAGCTATGATGTGAAATTTTATTTATGCATGCATAATCAAAGTCTACAACCTAAATATACCAAAAAAAACAAAAAAACATTTTGCTTCAATTCCTGAAGGAAATTAGAATCTAGTTTAAGTTTCAGATCAAATCAGCTCAAATGAAAATATACACTTTGTTCAATGTGAATAGCTGGTAAAAATACATACATACATACAGTAAATAAATATTATATACACTGAACAAAATTATAAACGCAAATTGACATGTCAAAGTCTAGACCCTGAATATAAGACGACCGTGTTTTTTCAGATGTATTTCCAAGAAAAAAATATCGTCTTATATTCGGGACAATACGGTATATATGGTCTTCTGAGTATTGATACTAACAATGCAAAAGTACTGCCTGTGTTTTCCATACACTAAACAAATGATCAGAGTAAGAAATTCGGTTAACTTCTCATTCGGCTTTGCACATTTTAACACCAGGATATAAAAATGAGTTATTGGGACAGAAAAAAAGGGCAAGTAACAGGAAAAAAAGGCACAACTGAGTCATTGAATAATCCCTTCTGGTCCTGCTCTCAGGGCGGCCATAAAGTCCCGCCAAATGAAAAGAAAGTCACAATAAATGACTGCACCTAATTACGAGGTCTTCTATTACCACTAAAGGCGCAAACCTATAAAATATAGGCATATAAAGTCTAATTAACCATAGCTCCGGTTCTCTAATCCAAACGCATTGGTTATGACAAATACTTAACTCACACTCTCATAATACAAAATGATTTACCAAACGAAAAGCTGCACCACCCACAGAGCGAGAGGAGCAATTACTTTCGCAAAATAATCGAAAAACACACTTCAAAGCCATTTGAGTCTGTTAAAGTGAAGAGCCAACATAATTGTGGCAGCCATTCATGTCACGGCTGTGTCAGCACGGAAAAGCATGTCCCAATCCCCACCGCCTCAGTGCCTCCCGTGCTTAACCTTTGTCTACAAATAAGACACTGCTCTCCATTGAGCTCATTTTGCACCTCACTGAATATTGCACCACCTAATCTGACTTGATTACATCCAACTCATGTCGAAGCCCAAACCAACATACGGGAGATCAGATTCAAATCAATATGATTGCTGAAGTACAGCCCTGGGCTATCAGATAAGCATGGCAAGTACACAAAGACAATGAATTATGAGTGCATTATTATTGTACGCTTGCTTCTGAAACGTTGATGTATCGCTACACAACACAGAACGATCATTCATTTAAGTATGTAGCCAAATCTACATTTCAAATGCAATTTTGGTTGGTCGACGGGATAGTAGTAAAAATAGCAATACTGCCTTTAAAACCCAGACCAAGCAAACTTATCACACAAAAATGGCTTTTTAAATACCCTCATAAATATTCACAGACTTAATGGGTAGCTCAGGGTTATGAATGTGGCAACAACAGACAAAATTGCCACCACCGCAGAAGTAATAAGCAACTAGCCCGTAGCTGTTCCTGAGAGAGAATAGTTTTAATATCAGCACAGCGCATAGAAAAATAACCTTTAACCTTAATTTTCGCTATATATGTTTGTAGTGTCTATATGGAAAATAAAGACAATGTGTTTTTCAGACAACAGATGGTTTAAGTCAACAAGCCAACGTGCCATCACTGAAGGGTATTCAAAAAAGGATTCATATTTTATACAGCAAGTCCCTAGACAAAATACTGACATGTTATAACACTTGAGAGTCGGTCTGATGGATGATTATATTCTTCTCGTTTAAAATTTTCAAGCGAGAGAGAGATGTAACCAAAAATGTGTGCTAGTCCTTTTTAAACACAATTGAATGACTGCAATTATAATTTTCCTTTAAAGATAAATAAATTAGTGGCAAAATCATATGTTCAAGAATATGTGGCCACTTAAAACCGTATTCTCCAAATCACATTTCTGCTTATAACAGCTCAACAATGTTCTGTCATGTGCAGGACGGTGAGGATAAAAACAAAAGAAAGGGGATAAAAGGTTTTAAAAATGTGAAGCAACTAAGACTCAGCTCAACAAAGAAAAAAAAATGTGTGTCATCCAGGAAAGGGTATTCAAAAAAGGATTCATATTTTATACAGCAAGTCCCTAGACAAAATACTGACATGTTATAACACTTGAGAGTCGGTCTGATGGATGATTATATTCTTCTCGTTTAAAATTTTCAAGCGAGAGAGAGATGTAACCAAAAATGTGTGCTAGTCCTTTTTAAACACAATTGAATGACTGCAATTATAATTTTCCTTTAAAGATAAATAAATTAGTGGCAAAATCATATGTTCAAGAATATGTGGCCACTTAAAACCGTATTCTCCAAATCACATTTCTGCTTATAACAGCTCAACAATGTTCTGTCATACGCAGGACGGTGAGGATAAAAACAAAAGAAAGGGGATAAAATGTTTTAAAAATGTGAAGCAACTAAGACTCAGCTCAACAAAGAAAAAAAAAATGTGTGTCATCCAGGACAATAGCAGCTAACCAAACCAACGTATTCATGTTCATGTGAATTTGTCAATATAGGCCAAATGATAAATGCTCAGATATTTGGAAACGTTTCACTGTTATTGTTCATTTTCTCTGCTACGTTGATTTTGTATGGATTCATATCTGCACTCCATGGGTTCCTGTGCTCTGCCACATGGTGGGGATGTGGAGAGTGTTAAAAATCAGCCAATATTTAAGGCAGAGAATTATGCTGAAATCATATTGTAGTGGAGGATATAAAAAAGTACATAAAAAAAAAAAATAACACATAACCCTAACCAGCAGGGGGCGCAATCGCTGAATGCCCACATTAACAATGACGATTAAATAAGGTAAACTAATGTGAAAAATATGTATGTTTGCATGATAAAGTGATGGATAAAGACAAACAAATCTAACTGGCAATTAGTAGTAGAGGTTTAAAACAAAACATACACTTTTGCACTAAAAAATGCATATTGAAAATGTCTGAGAATTTTATAAGGGATTGTTTTATAAATGCAAACATCTCCAAATCCTACACAATACATAACTGTGTCCATGTCCATTTAATAAACTGCAGCACTTAAACCACGAATCAACTGAATTTTAGATGATGCATCACAATATATGTGACTAATATCTAATTACATGTTAATTAGATTTATATTACTCATTAATTACAATGTAATTGCCCAAACATGAAGACTAATATAAAGTGTCACTGGCTGACTCATATAGGACTTTTGATTCATAATAATCTAATCAAACAATAATCTACAATCAGATACATTCAGTTTAAAGTAGCAGGAAGAAGTGGCACAAGCTGCTCTTTGTTTCTTTTACGTAGTTTCAACCTAAATTCAATTCATCAACACGCAATTCATCAAAATTAAAGTTTGTCCCAATCATATTTTACAAATGCATCTATATAAACAGAAGAGCAGTCACATCACCGGAGACAGCAGAAGTCAGCACTACGAACCCTAGCGAGCTGCCTACAAGACAGCATTTCTGGACATCATAGCTTTGCGAATGCGCGTTCGGAACGCGTCTACGATGCCCCAAAACGCTGTGAAGGTAGGTCGCTCACTGGGGTTTGAGACACAGCCGCTATCATGCGTCATAATGGGTTTCACTCGTATTTCGGAATGTGACCACGTCAGATCGGAGCGCATGACAAAGACATTTAATTCAGTAAAATGAATGCACATAAACACATAAAGCCCGCAGACGTACCACTGTTGCTCCAGCTCCCAGTCCCTGAAGAAGTCAAACTCGAATAGGTCCATGGTCGGTGTGTTTCAGTGAGGTGCCGGTGGCCGCATATGCAGGAACGGTGTCTGTCTCCCTCACTGACGCGCGGCGCAGCTCGCACTGCCGCTGCCTCTCTCCGCTCAGCGACACGCAGCCCTGCAGAAGGCGGAGTCAGGGCTCGCTGGAGGCGGTCACACGTTCTGTAAAGACCGGCGCCGCACTTTGAACCAGAGCAGCTCCACCTGTGTCCAGCACACATCACCTGTGAACACACAGTCGAGAGGCTTTAATAATGCAATTTAAAACCAATTCATTCAACAAAATTGTTTTAGCAACCTTTTTATTATTATTATTATTATTATTATTATTATTTAGCCAGTCAAAACAGAATTAACTGTATTTTTTTCTTGTGTTGTCCAGTAGTTATAAAATATACAGGTTGTTCTGAGCCAGGTGTATTCTTTGTTCTTAATACAAAAAAAGGTTATATATGTGTAATGTAACATTAAGTAAGAATAACATTAATGAATCAATTCAATTTAATACTATGCATAAAACATTGTTAACCAAAATGTAATGTGATTAATGTAGTAATATTGAAATAAACATTTCAAAAAACAAACAAACAAATATAAATAAAAGTGCATGAAAACTTAATTAATAAATAAATAAATAGGCCTATGCATTGCTTTGACGCGACTAGAGCAGGATCAGGGTAGGTGTTATATAGTGTGTGTAATAGCATTCAGGTGAGCGTGTAATTGGTTTCAGGTGTGAGTGTAATCAGTGCAATGGAACATGGGAAATGTAGTCCAGGGTGATGTGTAACAGTCTGTGTGGTGCGAGAGTCAATATCATGGAAGGGCGACCTCTGGTGGCAAGTGGATGGAAATTCATGGATCGGATTCGTGACAGACCGTTTTATTTTTTAATTGTAATAACCTTTTATTATTTTTCTGTTAATAAGTAAAATTATAAATAAAGAAACAATTATTGAATAATGGCTGAATTATTCAACCTAATGACATTTAGAGTGTACAGATGTCTTCAAAATTAAGGAATCAGGCCCAGGCCCACATTAATGTTGTCTGAATAATTTACATGTGCTATTTTTTTATTATTCCTAATATGCAAAATTATACAGTAATATGACACTAATAATAATAATAATGATGATGATGATGATGATAATTATGATTATATGAATATTATATATGCATATTAATTTAGAATCATTTATAATTAATGAATCCTCAAACTGGGTAAAATTATAAGTAACTTTCATTGTCAACCTAAAGTTTGTCTATATAAATTATCCAGCATACTGGCCTTATTTTATGTATATAAAGTTATATAAAGGTATATAAAGTTCACAGTGCTTCTAAGAAATAACCAATAACCAACCAGATTATAAAAGTTTGGATTTTTTTTTTTTTTTTTGTCAGTATAATGTCATATCAGCATTTTATTCAAACACTGATGTCTGTTGATTGTTGAACTTCCAACAAATCAAGTTTATTGCAGCTGTAACCAGAGAACTGGAGTTGCAGCAGTAAGCATGTGCACCTCTGAAGGCCGCAGTATAAGAGAAATGTGAGCACAGCCGCTTGGCAAATATACATATCATATCCCTGATAACACAATAGAAACATTACACAGAAGAATATGCTGTCAGAAATATGCCTCTTTGCATTGTTCCTTCATACAAATGTTCAGCTCGAGTAATAAAGCGCATGTTTTCCCGAAAACAAGCCACGAGACAGACCCACATATGTTTGTTGTTGACATTGTGATGATTTGGCGAGAGCCATATGGTGATCATGTTCCATGTGATCACTGCCACAACAAATTTCACTTTTTGCATACTTTGCCCGGGGATGCCCTCTCGAAATTCATCGCAGAGCCTTCGAACTGATATTAATCTTACCTTGAAATAACACAGTGGGAGAGGAGAAATAAATTTCTGAGGCAGAATGGCTTTCCGGATGTTATACGAATGAATGCTTTGCTGATGGATTTCACAATGGTCAGGCAGCACAGAGAAGATGCCACTGTGTCTAACAATAGCTCACACTGATACAATACAGTTTATGCCCTTACCATCCGCTCTTTACTAGCAGTGCCATAAAAGTGGAAAAGAGGAGTCAGGCTAGCTCTCCCCTTTGCTCATTGTAAATAAAAATCATATTTATTTTGTGTCAAAAAGCTGAGTAAACCTGATGGTGCATTCAGCCTCTATTTTTGTCAATAATTTACTTAAATAAATTCCAACAAGCTATTGAAAATCCCTTTATGAGGTCGTCTCTTCTGAACTCAGTAACATTTTCATATTAACTTGCATATAAGAGATCCTCAGAGTAACAACTCTGAAGTGCAATAGGGCAGTTTGAGAGGCTATTTCAGAATCTAGGCTACTGTGTGAGCGAACAGGTTGAAGCTTTTCAGGTGAAATGGTGCTTTTGAGCAAGAACGGATTACGGGTCTGTGAAGCCCCCGGGCACTGGCTCTCTTTGGAGACTCCCTCATCACAATTGTGAGATGAAATGTCCAAATAACAGGAAACTATATTGAAAAAAAAGGACTAAAGTCATAGTTATATCGATATAAAGCCGCAAAGTTGCAGCTATGAGAATGAACACGCTATAGTATTGCTGCAAAAGAGACAACAATGTGCCAGGACTGGTGTACTATATTAAAGCTCCAACAAGGTGTTTAGAGAGCAAAGCCAGTGCTGAGAAACAATTCACATTTCTCATTTCTCTATATCATATATCTGTATTTCTATAATCTATATCTGTGTTTTGTATTCGCAGTGGTTTGTTTCTAGGTTCCTAAAAGTCTGAAGTCAAGTCAATACACTTCTTTTGATTTTGAGAGTTTTAAAAGGCTTCTGTGGAAGCAAGCTTGTTGTATATCACCAGTGAGGTAATGGACTGATACCATTCACCAAATAAATAAAGTCAGCATGGAGAATTTTATTATCTATGCTGTATTATTTGTTTTCCATACAGCATACATTTTGCATAGATGTTTTATGACCATAAAATGAAATTTAAGTGATACAATCTTTCATATCTTTAATACAATTTTCATTACTATGCCATTGAAAAGTTTGGGATTGATTGATTGATTTATTTGTGTTTTTGAAATAAGTCTCTTAGACTAACCAATGCTACAGTAAAAACAGTAATATTGTGAAATATTATTACAATTTACATTAACTTTTTTTTTTTTTAAATATGTTGTAGCATTTAAAATGTGATTAATTTCTGTAATGCAAAGCTGACTTGTTTATTAAAAACAGTTGTGGGCACCATGATACATTTTTTAACAGATTCTTTGATGAATGGAAAGTTGGAAAGATAAACGAAAAAAAAAAAAGCAATGGATGAATGTTAGAAAAAAAAAACATTTATTTGAAAGAGAAATTTTTCATAACAACATAAATTGTCAAGTTACTTTTACTTTACTGTCAATTTAACGCATCCTTGCTTAATAAAAGTATTAATTTATTTCTTTACAAAAGAAAAAATAAACAATTGAATTGAAAACAAATGAAAAAAAAGAGAAAAAAAGAAAGAAAAATATTCTACATATTGACATATTGTCTGTCAAGTACTTAATTGACATGAAGTTACTTGGATTTACAGTACTAGAATACATCCCAGATAGCAAGAACGTTTGGGCCAAATGTGGCTGATAGCTGTCACATTTGGCCTAGGTATGGCATGGCTGAACACATATGGGCCAAACTTTAACCGTATATGTTTTGCCATGGATTTAGAATTGGAGGGAATTTTATTTTGGATGACCATTTTTTTGAGGTATATGGCCCAGATGATAGCACACAACTGAGAGCCATATGTGGCTTGGCTATGGCACACCATGCAATATGTTAACTTGTGGTTAACATTTGGCTTTTATTTGGAAAAACACATATAAATTGCTGGCAGGTAAGTGGCAGTCCACATCTCAGCCCATTCAACAATGCTATTGGTTGCTTTGTGTCTTCCCTTATTCCTATTGGTGGATTACTGAAATTTTGAAAATATATCCGTTATTTCCCGCTCTGCTTCCTCTTTCAATCGAAAAGAAGAAGAACTAATTATGATATACTAATGTTCTTTTTTCTTTTCTTTTTCCTGACAGAATGAGTGAGAGACTGGTGAGACTTACTAAAAGTATCAACTTCTTTTATGTTCTGTATTGTAATTCTGTTATTAAAATTCTACTATAAACATTTTTTTAAAAATGAGTGTGAATCCATTTTTGTGTTTAAGATTTACTGTGTAATGGGTATTTTAAATAAAAAAAATAGGTGTGGTGTAAATATGGTTAAATAATGGCATTTGGTTTATCAGCCACATGTGGGCCACATAAGGGCCTTCAGCCCTTTACAGAACTCAGCCATATAAGAATACCATATAAGGTCCATATATCAGCCACATCTGTTTTTATTATTTGGCTCACTCTGGGTTGGGTTATGGCACTGTTTAGGTTCAGTTCTGGCTAAAAATATGTGGACCAGTTTTGGGCCGGCGAACACAAACTAATCTGGGCCACACTTTAGCTGTTGATATGGGCCAGATCCGCGCCAAAGGAAATTTGCTGACTGGGATGTGCGTGTGTGCGGGACGTCACCCATTTAACAATTTCATGTTTTCATAGTTTCTGCATTTTCAGTCCCCTCTAAAGACTTGTTCATGAATATCATGAATATCGCGCGCGATTATCGCCGACGTTTAACGCCTCGTGACTAAACAAAGGGCGCCAATGTGAGTGCACACCGACGTGCAAAACGCGAGGCGTAAAACCGTCATTTTTTTAAAAGTTAATTTGCACGTTCACTCGGCTCATCGCCTGCGAAAATCGCTTGGGTATGAACACAAAAGGCGCATCGAAAAAAGTCGGCAATAAGCGCGTGCGATAACCGTCCCGGTGTGTACGAGGCTTCATCGGGACGATTATCGCGCGCGCTTATCGCCGACGTTTTTCGAGGCGTCTTTTGTGTGAATGTGCAAATTCACTCCCTGACATTAGATGGCGCTTAATGAAAAACAGAAATACCCC